CACAATCCTGTGACCTTCTGCGATTTCACCTGGCTCAGGGATCTTCATGTAGGGATTGTGATGTGGGACGGGCACATTTTTCCATCCGAAGGGAGAGGCAGAAAGACTGACCTCAGTGGAAACACTTCCTTCAACAGAGGCTGATGCCACCAAAATATATGCAGGGTTTATCAGCTTCATAGTCAACTTCCTTGGCGACAGTCCCATAAGGAGGCCTCAGAGTTACACCAATGTGATGTGACTACTCAGATTGTTTCATTCCTACCTCAAATTCTCTTGTTCTGCTCTGTTGTTAAACAAAACAGTGCTCCCAGCTTGGCATCCTTACTGCCATGCCCTCCTGCTGCACACCTACATCTCAGTATTTCCTTCCCCAAGACACAAGTCGTAGCGCACAGTATATCCCACCAGGAGACTCGTGACTTCTGAGTACACTTGGATCATCCTTCTCCAGGGGTTTATCTGTGACAACCTACACTTCCCCACACACACAAAAGCCATCACTTTATCACCTTCAGCTCCCAGAACCCTGTGTCACTGCACTCACCCCACATGGACTACTATTTTATTCATGGATTTGGGGCCACCTTACCTATGTCTTCACCCAGAAGTCTGAAAGAATGGGTCCCTGTCTGGCTCCACAGCTGCCTGCCTGCCTGAACATCATCTCAGCAGTGATATTGATGTTGCCAGCACCCCAGCATACATCCCCACCTTGCTGAGCAATGTCCACCTCACCCAGCTCCCCAATGTCACCCTGCAACACTTGCTGCCAACTGTCTACTGTGTGGGCATTTGTTTCTTCTCATTACTGTGCCTGCCGCTCTCATCACCTGTCTCTCTTGCTGTTCTGGCTTCCCTCAGCCCTAATTCAATTCCCCTCCTCCTGAAGGGACATTGATGCCTCCCTTCTACCTTGCTTTTCAGGGACTGCACTCACTTTAAAATAAGTTCAAAATTCTGAGCTTTTCTAGCACCAAAATGAAAGCCTTGGCTTCAACTTACTGCAAACCCAGAAGTCCCCCAGCCCTGCCAGGTACTGGAAAGAATGTAGGTTCCACACAGGAAGCAGATTACTTACCTTACGCTGGCTTCTCCGGACTCTTAGGAACTTGTAGGCAAAATTATCATTCTGGTTTTCATTGAAGTGGAACACGACATGCTCCACAGAAATGGCAAAATCAACCTCATTCTTGCTGATTTCTACAAATTTGAAGCTGCAGTCGTGAATCCCCAGAACAATAATCCCCACAAGCAAGAACACCTTCCACAACATGGCTGTCTTCAGTGCCTGCACTGGGAACTGAGAATGCATTCATCGGTGGAGAGGTGGCACAGCTGCAGATAGTGATGCCATCTCACAAGGCCCTGCCCACCAGAGAGAGGCCCTGTGGCGCTGAAATCCTAAATTTGACTAGGGCATCTGGCCAGTGTCATCTCTACTCCTCCACCTTGTCCCTCCCTTCATCTGAAAGCAGAAGGCAGAAGAGGAGATCACGTTTTCCATGCCTTGGTGACATAAGCCATAGACTCATGGGCATTCAAGCAGCGTACCCTTTGCCTGTACATTTCTAAATTGCCTCCCCCAGCCTGGGCCCACCCTGATAAGAACTGATAGGAAGTTTGGGATTCTAAGTCCAACTGGCTTCCTTTTACTGCTGTGAATTCCAGAACTGACAGAGCTATAAAAACTCTTATGAGGTTAAGTATTGCGAGTTAAGAAACCGATGCCAGTGACCTTGGAGCTCCAGAGGAACCAAGTGGGAGGGGTCAGAGTCAGGACTGGGAGATCATCTTCTCTACCATCTCTGCAGTATAGTAACCAGCTCGTCACCTCTACCTTCCCTGAGACCTGTGCTGCCTGTGCTTTGCAACCCAGTGCTAGATAGAATCAGAATGGGAGGCAGTGGGTCTGTAGGGATGGACACCAATGGCAGCCATGAGTCTAGAGGAGGCACCTACTAATATATGCACATCCAGCTCTGCAAATCAGCCCTGTGGCAGACTTCTTGGGAAAATTCTCCGCAGTATCTCACTTATGGAGAAACTGGCAAAGGGATGAGCAAGCGGGGAAGGTATGAAGGTTGCCATTATGGGAAAGGACTCATGCTCAAATGATGGGAGACCAGGATACTTGAACCATGATGATCCCAAAAACTGACCCAGAAATTAACAATTGCCTTGGGGCCAGAGTAGGAGCTGAAATGTAGCTCTGGCATGGAAAGGCACAATACTGTGGGCATGACTGTTAATGCCTTCTGCAGCTTCCAGGTGGGGGCAGAGAATGATGTCACAAGATGATAAATGCTGTCAGTGAGGTTTCTATTGCTGTGATAAAGCAGCATGACAAAAACCAATTTGAGGAGGAAAGGCTTTATTCTATCTTATAATTTGTTATCTATCATCCATCCAGAAAAGCCAGGGCAGGAAGCCAAAACAGGAACCTGGAGGCAGGAACTAACACAGAGGCCATGGGTGAATGTTGTATGCTGACTTGTTCCTTATGGCACGCTCAGTCTTCTTTTTATAGAACTCAGATCCGCCTCATAGGGATGGCAACACTCACAATGTGCTGGACCCTCCCACATCAATTATTAATCAAGAAAATGCCCTACAGACTTGCCTACAGTCCATCTCACAGAAACATTTTCTCAACTGAGATTCCTCTTTCCAGATAACTCTAGCTTGTGTCAAGTTGACACACACACACAAACAACCAAGACAGGTGGTGATGGTTAGGATACCTAAAAATGCAGATTACACCCCATAGTACTTCAGAGTGCTTGAACCCTTGCTTCCCCACCAGAATAGATACAAGCTCTTCTATCTGTTTAAATTCCCCCTCCTAGAAACCATCTGATCATATCTTACTGTCATCACTCTAACATCTACAGATCTGTATGGTGACCCCCTCTCATAACCTAGATTTAGCTTACCAAAGGTTAGCAACTGTCTTGTCCTTCCTTAAGGACTGACCTCTGGATTTCTTAACCATTTGTTTCTATCGAACTTTGTTTTCTGGTTTTTATTTAGGTATTTTTTGTTACAATCACCTACCCATACCCTGTAGTTTTTCCAAATTGAAACAAGAATTTGAGATGGGGCAGCCCTGAGATAGGATCCAATGTAATCATCTGCTGTTTTGTGTGCTCTCTGGTTTGTACACTCCCATGTGTACAATATGTTTCTTGAAGTTCTGTGGCAGCAGAATCCACTAATTTGTTACTTAAGAATTGTTGAGGGGCTTGGGAGATGGGTACAGCATTTGCTACACCAACATAAGAATCTGAATTCAAATCCTCAGCAGCCACATGAATCCAGTTATTGTCATTTATATCACCAACCCCAGTGCTTCTATGACAAGATGGGAAGCAGAGACAAGACTGTCCCTGCAGCTCACCAGCCACTTAACCTGACACACCTACCAGTGAGCAACAAAAGATAGCCAGTCTCATAAAAGGTCCAAAGTGAGAACCAACAGCCAAGGCTGTCCTTGGACCTCTACACATGTGCCATGGAACCCACACACCAGCACTTACACACACACACACACACACACACACACACACACACACACACACCATACATGCAAAGTTTGATTTTTTTTAAAGAAATAAGAATGGGGACTGGAGAGATGGCTCAGTGATTGAGAGTATTTACTGATTTTCCAAAGGACTAGAGTTTGGTTCCCAGCACCTGTGTCAGGTAACTCTACAGGCACTTGCATGTATCCACTTACAGGCACACACATGCACAAACACAGACACACATATACATAATTAAATTAAAAATAAAATCGTGTTAAAAGTAACAATGTTTCAATTAAGTAATTTAGAGATATATAGTGTAATTTTCAAGTATTTCCCTCCTTAATTTCTAGATAAATTTCACTACCATCAGAGAACACAATCTATGTGACACCCCTTCTCTAAAGTTCATGATATATGATAGACTGGAATGTGCTCAGTTTTGATAAATTATCCACAGATTCAATAGAGTACATGTTCTGAACTTGGATGACATCCTGTGTAACACAAAATGAAGTTTGTTTAGTAAATTCTCATATTTTGTGTGTCTTTGATTATTTTTACCCTATGGATCTGTCAGTTACTCAGAATGGTACCTGAATCTCGCATTAGAATCATGTGTTTATTTCTAGCCCTGTCAGGTAGCCTGTGGTTTTCAGGAGGGAAAGGCCTCCTATCCTGTCATTTACTCCTTCCCAATACTCCTGAGCCTGGGTCTGGTCCCACTGCAGAATGGACACAGGTATGAGCTTGGTTCCTGAGTCAGAAGCAGTGGGGAGACAGATGACTTCTCCCTGTTAGTTGTGACATCTCTGTGGTGCCTAAGCTGGTCTCCAGACTGTGAGCTTCCAAGGTCCTCCCTCTCAACCTCCTGAATAGTGCTGAACTATAGATGGGCATGGCTATGCCTGGCTTCTGCATTCCTTATGAATGCATAGGTGAGGAGCGTGGAAAGATTAAAGAATGGATGAATATGCAAATGAATGAATAAGAACACAAATCAACCAGTAGGGCCCATTCATGAGCTTCTTCACATGAACTGAGGAGTCTGATTTACTCAGACATACATACCTGAGGAAGGGAAATAAAAAAGAACAGTTGCAGCCAGGTGGTGGTGGCACATGCCTTTAATCCCAACACTCAGGAGGCAAAGACAGATAAATCTCTGTGAGTTTGAGGCCAGTTTGGTAACAGAACTAGTTCCAGGAGATCCAGGGTCACACACACACACACACACACACACACACACACACACACACACACACACGAAAGACAATTGCTTATCATCATCAAAGATGGTATCCATGGCAAATAGACAATACAGAAGACCCTAAGCATTGCTCAGGGATTCAGAATGCTGTGAGACTCTTTTAATTGAATTAGCACTACACAGACCTTAAACTACAGATAGTCACACTTCCAAGGAAGGGAGACTACTATGACTACTATGTGTAGCCAGAGCCCCTGTCCCACTTATGCTGGCACACAGGTACTATTCAGGATGGAGAAGTGGGAAAACCAAGGTCGGGCATCTACTTGGAGAACACAGTTCACCTGAAAAATAATCATAAGTAAGTTAGAATATTATAATGCATAGAGATAATGCAGCACACAGTAGGATCTCAAGATACAATTTAAAAAATATTTCTTTCAAAAAATAAATCTAAAAAAGCCATTTTACAGGAGTATGGGCCATAAGCTCAAATCTCCACTAGGACAATGGACACAATTAACAAAATTCCCCCACCTAAGACAAGGAGGTCCTGAAAAAGAACCTCCCTGGGGTCTTCACCCTGAGGCATACTGTCCCCACAGCTCACCACTTTCCTTCCACCTGCAACATGTGATGATGGATGAATTTCTCCATCCCAAGGATCCTGAAGGAACCAAGAGATTGCTTGACAGAAAATTCCATCAGGTGCTTCCCAACTGAACAGCAGCACAAACCCTTCCAAATGAATCATCTCCAAGGCCATTAGTTGGAAGGTGAAACCAAACACTAGCATAGTCCCTCAATGGAAAGCCATCCTCAGGGTCCCAGATCACATTGGTTACATGCCATACAGGACAATGATATCATCCAAAATCACCCAGAATCTATCTGGAAGTCAGAGTAAGCAGATAAATTAAGTTCCTAATCCCAAGGGTTGGACTGATGACCACAAGAGGAATTACATCTTCTCAAATCCTGATGGTCTCTAAAGGCACAGGTCCAACACCACAGGATAGTTCTGTCATAGATGGAAACCATGTGGGCATCTAAAACAGAAGACTGCCACAGGCATGAGAGCTCTGTCTGCTTAAGATGGCCCCTTCTGTGTGGTTTATGGTAGATCAACCACACTCCAATGGAGGACCTCACAGTCAGGCATACATTGGCTGCACAAACTGGACTAAATGGGTTAATAAAAACTAGGACATGATTCTCTGGATTTCCTCAGTGTCCATCATTCTGTCCCCCTTTTCATTTCTGATTTTGTTAACTTGCATTCTCTCTCTCTCTCTCTCTCTCTCTCTCTCTCTCTCTCTCTCTCTCTCTCTCTCTCTCTCTCTCTCTGCCTTTTGATTAGTTTGGATAAAGGTCTGTCTATTTTATTGATTTTCTCAAAGAACCATCTCTTTGGTTCATTGATTCTTTGTACTGTTTTCTTTGTTTCTACTTTATTGATTTCAACCCTCAATTTGATTATTTCCTGACATCTATTCTTCCAGGGTTAGTTTGTTTCATTTTGTTCTAGAGCTTTCAGTTGTACTGTTAATTCTCTAGTGTGACTGTTCTCCAGTTTCTTCATGTGTGCATCTAGTGCTATGAACTTTCCTCTTAGCACTGCTTCCAAAGTGTTCCATAAGTTTGGGTATGTTGTGTCTTCATTGTTGTTGAATTCTAGAAAGTCTTTAATTCTTTTTTATCTCTTCCTTGACCCAGGAATGGTACAATTGTGCATTGTTCAATTTCCATGAGTTTGTAGGGTTTTTACAATCTATGTTGTTGTTGAATTCTAACTTTAAAGCATAGTAGTCTGATAAAATACAGGGGTTATTCCAATTTTTTGTATCTGTGGTGGTTTGCTATGTTGCCAAGCATATGGTTGATTTTAGAGAAGGTTCCATGTGGTGCTGAGAAGAAGGTATAGTCTTTTCTGTTTGGATGGAATGTTTTATAGATGTCTGTTAAACCCAGTTGTGTCATAACTTCTGTTAGTTCATTTGTTTCTTTGTTAAGTTTCTGTCTGGTGGTCCTGTTGAGTGGTGAGAGCAGGGTGTTGAAGTCTCCACTATAAGTGTGTGAGATTTTATGTGTGATTTGAGCTTTAGTAATGTTTCTTTTTAGGAATGTGGGTGCCTTAATATTTGGGGCATAGATGTTCAGAGTTGAAACTTCATCTTGATGGACTTTTCCTGTGATGTATATAACATCTCTTTTGATTGATTTTAGTTTGAAATCTAATTTCTTAGATATTAGGGTTGTTACACCAGCATGTTTCTTGGGTCCATTTCATTGGAAAATCTTTTCCCAACCCTTTACTCAGAGGTAACATGTGTCTTTGATGATGAAATGTGTTTCTTGTGTGCAGTAGAAGGATAGGTACTGTCTTTGTATCCATTCTGTTAGCCTGTGTCTTTTTATATGTAAATTAAGACCATTGACATTGAGGGATATTAATGGTAATTGCTTGTTAATTCTTGTTTGTTTTGGGTTTGTCTGTAGTGGTGGTATTATGTGTGGATTTCTCCCCTTTTTTCTTTTGGTGTTTGGTATTGTGGGATTATCTATTGCCTATGTTTTTCTGAGTGTAGTTATCCTCCTTGGGTTGCAATCATCAGGTCATATTTTGAAAACCTGTATCCACAAAATTAGAAAATTTAAAGGAAATGGACAATTTCCTGGATGGATATCACTTACCAAAATTAAATCAAGAACAGATAAGCAATTTAAATAGACCTATAACCCCTAATGAAATAGAGATAGTCATCAAAAGTCTCCCAATTTAAAAAAATCCCAGGACTACATGGTTTCAGTGCTGAATTCTACCAGAAATTCAAAGAAGAGATAATGCCAGTACTCCTCAAACTGTTCCACACAAATAGAAGCAGAAGAGTCATTGCCAAACTCTTTTTACAAGGCTACAATTACCTTGGTATCCAAACCACACAAAGACACAACTAAGAAAGAGAACTACAGACCAATATCCATCATGAACATTGATGCAAAAACACTCAATAAAGTACTGGAAAATCGAATCCAAGAACACATCAAAGAAATCATCCACCATGATCAATCAAGTAGGCCTCATCCCAGGGATGCAGGGATGGTTCAACATACAAAAATCCATCAATGTAATCTACTATATCAACAAACTGAAAAAGAAAAACCACATGATCATCTCACTAAATGCTGAAAAAACCTTTGACAAAATCCAGCACACCTTTATGATAAAGGTCCTAGAGAGATCAGGGATAACAGGAGCATACATGAACATAATAAAAGCAATTTACAGTAAACCAACAGCTAACATCAAACTAAATAAAGAGAAACTCAAGGTAATTCCTCTAAAATCAGGAACAAGACAAGGCTGTCTACTCTCTCCGTATCTCTTCAATATTGTACTTGAAGGTTTTGCTAGAGCAATAATACAACAAAAGGAGATCAAGGGGGTACAAATTGGAAAGGAAGAAGTCAAACTTTCTGTTTGCAGATGATATGATAGTTTACATAAGTGACCCAAAAACTCTACCAGGGAACTACTTAGCTGATAAACTTTATTAAAGTGGCAAGATATAAGATTAACTCAAAAAAATCAGTAGCCCTGATGATAAATTATATGAGAAAGAAGTCAGAGAAACATCTCCCTTTACAATTGCCACAAACAACATAAAATATCTTTGGGTAACTCTAACCAAACAAGTGAAATACCTGTATCGCCAGAACTTTGAGTCTTTAAAGAAAAATATTAAAAGAAGATACCAGAAAATGGAAAGATCTCCCATGCTCTTGGATAGGTAGGATCAACATAGTAAAAACGGAAATCTTGCCAAAAGCCATCTACAGATCGAATGCAATCCTCATCAAAATACAATTCTTCAGAGACCTTGAAAGAACAATAATCAACTTTATATGGAAAAACAAAGGACCCAGAATAGCCAAAACAACCCTGTACAATAAAGGAACTTCCGGAGGCATCAGCACCCCTGACTTCAAGCTCTATTATAGTTATAGTCCTGAAAATGGCTTGGTATCGGCACAAAAATAGACAGGTAGACCAATGGAATTGAATTGAACACCCTGATATTAACACACACACCTACAAACACCTGATTTTTTACAAAGAAGCTATGATTATACAATGAAAAACAGAAAGCATCTTCAATAAATGGTGCTGGCATAACTGGATGCTGGCATGTAGAAGATTGCAGGTAGATCCATATCTATAACCATGCACAAAACTTAAGTCCAAATGGATCAAAGACCTCAACATAAATCCAGCCACACTGAACCTCGAACGAATTGGTACAGGAGACTGCTTCCTGAACATAACACTAGTAGCACAGATACCAGTATTACAGTTAATAAATGGTACCTCATGAAACTGAGAAGATTCTGTAAGGCAAAGGACACAGTCAACAAGACTAAACGTCAGCCCACAGAATGGGAAAAGATATTCACCAACCCCACATCTGACAGAGCTGATCTCCAAAATTTACAAAGAACTCAAGAAGCTAGTCTCCAAAACACCAAAGGATCCAATTAAAAAGTGGGCTACAGAACTAAATAGAGAATTCTCAATAGAGGAGTCTAAAATGACTGAGAGACACTTAAGAAACTGCTCAACATTCTTAGCCATCAGAGAAATGCAAATCAAAACAACTCTGAGATAACATCTCACTCCTGTCAGAATGGCTAAAATCAATGACAGTTTATGCTGGAGAGGATGTGGAGAAAGGAGAAAACTCCCCCACAGCTAGTAGGAGTGCTAACTTGTACAACCACTTGGGAAATCAGTATGGAGATTCCTCAGGAAAATGGGAATCAGTCTACCACAAGATCCAGCAATTTCACTCTTAGGTATATACCCAAAGATGAACATTCATACAACAAGGACATCTGTGCAACTTTGTCGATTGCAGCGTTATTTGTAATAGCCAGACTCTGGAAGCAACCTAGATGCCCCTCAGCTGAAGAATAGATAGAGAAAATGTGATACATTTACACAATGGAGCACTACCTAGGGAAAAAATGGAATCTTGAAATTCACAGGCAAATGGATGGCACTAGAAGAAACCATCCTGAGTGAGGTAACCCAGTCACAAAAAGACAAACATGGCATGTACTCATTCATATATGGATTCTAGATATAGAGAAAAGTATTACCAGTTCACAATCCACACAGCCAGAGAAACTAGGAAACAAGGAGTTCCCTAAGCGAGACATATGTGGTACCCCAGAGAAGGGTAAAGGGACAAGATCTCCTAAGTACACTGGAAGCATGGAGAGAGGGGAGAGGGAACTTGGAGAAAGAGAAGGGAAGAAGAGGAAGGAGGAGGAGGACATAAGGGAGCACGAAGGTTGAGGGGGGCAGGGGGGGATAGAGGAGAGCGAGATACCATAATAGAGGGAGCCATTATAGGTTTAAATAGAAATCTGGCACTAGGGAAATTTTCAGAGATCTACAAGGATGAGACCAACTAACAATCTAAGCAATAGTGGAGAGGCTACCTTAAATGCCTTTCCCTGATAATGAGATTGATGACTACCTTATATGCCATCTTAGAGCCTTCATCCAGTAGCTGATGGAAGCAAAAGCAGTCACCCACAGCTAAACACTGAACTGAACTCCTAGAATCCAGTTGCAGAGATGAAGCAGTGATGCCTGGTAAAACCCACAGAAACAGCTGACCTGAACAAGGGGAAGCTCATGAACCCCAGACTGATAGCTGGGAAACCAGCATAGGACTGATTCAGACCTGCTGAATGTGGGCGTCAGGAGACCTGGGCAGTCTATGGGGCCTCTGGTAGTAGATCAGTATTTATCCCTAGCAAAAGAATGAACTTTGGGAGCCCATTCCACATAGAGGGATACTCTCTCAGCCTAGACACATGGGGGAGGACCTAGGCCCTGACCCAAATGATATGACAGACTTTGAAGATTTCCCCTATGGAAGGCCTCACCCTCCCTGGAGAGCAGAAAGGGGATAGGCTAAGGGATTAGTGGGGGGCAGGGGAGGAGTGGAGGGAGAGGGAACTGGGATTGAAGTGTAAAACAAGCTTGTTTCTGATTCAAATAAATTTTGAAAAAGAGAAGGACATGAAGTTGGGGAATAAGAGTGGATCTGAGAAAATTTAGAGGAGAACTGGAGAGAGAATATGATCCAAATACATTGTATGAAATTCTCAAAGAAATAATACAAAAAATTTTAAGATTAAAAATAAAGTAATAAACAAATGAATAAGGGGAGAAGATAGCCCCTTCTGTTTCCAATGAAGGAGCCCTAAAATGTGTCCTCCTTCTGCCTGGATTGCCCCATGCCTTCCCTAAACCCTAACTCAGGTTTTGCATTATTATCTTTTCTTTCCCAAAAGGTCAGTTGTAATTGGGGATGGTTTTCTCCTGAGCCTTGTAGCAATGGGCAATTATCCATGTTTTCATCATGTTTCTTACAAATTGTACGGCCCATCTCCAATTCCATTAAAAAAATCATTGTCCATGTCTGTAGAAAATAAAGTATGCAAATAGACATTATTTTTCATAACATAAATACAAAAACAAGAAGAAATTCAAGTAGGAAATGAGTAAATGTCTGGAATTTGCATGTGTTTATAAATAGGCATCTATATAGCACATGCCATCATTGCATATCAACAGAAATGTGCCTATGAGAGCCATAAGACATATACCAGTGTTTTTTCTAGTACCTCATGCTAAACTCTGGCACTCTATAGGGGCATGGATGTGTAGGATATAGCACATTCACAGGATCACAATCAAATCCTACACAGTCATCCTGCACACACTGTAGTCATACATGGCAATGTGACAACTCTCAAACATTCACCTGAGCAGCATGGACCAGATTAAGAAATCCAATTAAATCAGATTAAGAAATGGGCCAGATTAAATTGCTAAGCAACTCTTTTAACTAGACCAGGAAGCAGGCACAACTCCACCTCTCCTGGAGTATGAGGAGCTTGGGGGATGCATTGTCTTTCACACGAGTGCTGGCAGCATGCAAGTGTTCCTTTTAGAGACAGACTGAAGGGACTACATAGGCATCACCCAGTTTTGAAATCCTCTCAAGATGTTGTGAGAAGTTGTTGAGAGCAACTGTCATACTAAATAGAGATGCATGAAAACTCAAACAGCACCAAGCAGGACATCCTCCCAGAGAAGAACACTCATCTCGGTGGATTGACGTGGAAATTGCCCAAAAAGCTGACTAAATGGGGCACTCAGGAGTCTATTCAGGTAATGGTAACACCCATCCTTGCCCAACACACACCATACACAACACACCTCAAAAAAACTACATTTATACTTGACACATACTAAGAATACACTTGTGTTGGTGTGCGCACGCCTTTAATCCCAGCACTCGGGAGGCAGAGGCAGGCGGATCTCTGTGAGTTCGAGGCCAGCCTGGTCTACAGAGCGAGTTCCAGGACAGCCTCCAAAACAATACAGAGAAACCCTGTCTCAAAAAAAACAAAACAAAACAAACAAACAAACAAAAAAAGAATACACTTGCTTCATCACATCTGTCCCACGCCACCATGTTCAATCCCATGTGATAATTAAGCCTGCATCTCCATGGCTGTGCAGCAACTAGAGGTGGTAGAACATTTGATACCAAGGGCTCCAGAGGTTCAGGGCCCAGGGATAACAATAGCTCAAAACATTTAGGGGATAAGAAAATGGGTCCTCGGTAAGGGAAGGTCTCCAGACCCGTGGCTACAGAGTATGCTGCAGACCCAGTACTCTTCCCATCAGTCCCTGCTGATGCTCTCCCACCCCAGGTCTGTTCATGAAGGGACAATGTTTTGCATGTGGGCTCACCTTTTTCTGGGCTCTCCCAACTTCAAGCAACCTGTATGTGTTCTCTTCTTGATTGTTGTCATTGAACTGAGCCACAGCAAACTCCACAGATGCGACGAAATAATCTAGATCCTTAGCAATGTCTACAAAGCCTTTGTCAATGGTCCATATATGAGTGCCTAGCACAACCATTCCTACAAGCAGGGACGCCTTCCACGACATCGCTGTCCTTTTCACCCGTCTAGGTACTGGGGATCCACGGGTAAAGGGATGGAACAGCCACAGTTGGCAACGCCTTCTCAGCTCAGGATCTCACATAGCCCTGCTCATCAGAGCCCTGTGCTCCTGAATGCCTCCTTTTGTGCTTCTGTCTAAATTCTTATCTCCATCCTCTGCCTTGTTCCTTCTCACCACCCCAAACAAAAGGCAGAGCAGAAGGCAACATTCCTTACCCTGGGGTGACACAAATCCTGAAGTGACAAGTGATATGCATCCTCTGTATGCATATCTCCAGGCTGTCTCTGAGTTTTGCCAGGGTAGGTCCAGCTTGTGCTGCAGTCTAGAGGCTCTGTGCCAGCCACATTTGTCCTTAAACAGTGCTAGAAAGGATCCCAGGGTCAGAAGATCTCCTGAGTAGTCTCGTGAACTCATTCCTGGGGAATGGAATCAGTTGCTGCCAAGCCTGCCTATGACCTTGCCTGCAACTCAGACCACCTGTCAAGCTCAAAGCCAATAGTTAGGTGATGTCCACGAGATGCCACCTTCCTCTTTGGTCAGCAGCTAATCTGGCCCCATTTTCTGGGTTTTCTATGCTCATTATCAGTTCCCCTTGCTTCTAACCTGCTCTCATCTCTGACATTCTTTCTGACCTCTGGGCTCTAATTACTGAACCACCTCATTCTAATCACAGCTGATTTCAACCCATCTTTTCACTTACCAACTTCTAACTCAAGTCAACCGTAGTTAGAGAACACCTAGTCTATCTTTCCTTTCTTTGAAATATATTGAGATTTATTTTTGTTGTTATTGTTGAGAAGATGACCAATATTTCCTGTGCTTTAGAAGAGCACATTTGGTAAGCATAGTGTTAAACCAGTACATAGTAAGTCTCTGTTCAATGGTTTCAGAAAATCTTTGACCTGGTGTCTAATTCTTGTTCCACATTTAAGATCAGTCACTCCTGAATTCTCTAAGACATAGCAGAACATAGTAGAGTTACTACCTGATACTAGAATTTTTCATACTTTTGGAATAATTTGAATACCATGTATATATAGAAAAGGAAAATGCCTCCCTGAAATCCAGTCATTAATCTATAAGTAGTTAGTGTATCTTCATCAGACTCAGGATCAAGTCCCCTAATCATGCACACATAAGTAGTTAGGGTATCCTCAGACTCAAGATCAAGACCTTCACAGTCATTTATCTATAAGTGATTAGTATATCCTCATCAAACTCAGGATCAAGATTCAGTGAAGTCACTCATCAATGGAAGAGAGCAAGAATTTTCTTCCTGACATTTGATAAAACACTTTTGTGTGTCTTGGGGAACTTTGTTGAAAGGGCAAGTGGTTGTCAGAAAACATAGTCACTAGGTGAGTCTGCTCTTGGATTCAAATGACTGAGGATGGATTCTGAGGCTCTCCTTTCCTTACCTGCCTACTCCCACCTCTTTGCTTATAGATAAAAATCTTTGGATGTTCATGTTCTTTTTAGGGACTGTTCTAGTCCCTGAGTCTTAAAGTGTCTGGGTGTTTCTATTTAAGATGTCTAGAAGGAGTAAGTTAGAAACATGTTGAGAAAGAAATCAGGGAAACAACACTCTTCACAATGGCCACAAAAATATAAAATATCTTAGGTGTCTCTACCCAAGCAAGTGAAAGACCTGTATGACAAAAACTTCAAATCTTTGAAGAAAAAAATTGGAGAAGATATTAGAAGATGGAAAGATCTCTCATGCTCATTGGTCAATAGGATTAACATAGTAAAAATGGCCATCTTACCAAAAACAATCTACAGATTTAATATAATCCTCATCAAAATTCCAACACAATTCTTTACAGGCCTTCAAAGAACAGCAGTCAATTTCACATGGAAAAAGAAAAAACGCACAATTGATAAAACTACCACATACAATAAAAGAACTGACAGAGTTATCACCAGATCTGATCTCAAGCTCTCCATCAGAGCTACAGTAATAAAACCGTGTTGTATTACCATAAAAACAGGTACAATGATCAATAGAATTGAATCAAAGACCCAGACAAAAATCCACATGCCTAAGGACACTTGATTTTTCTAAAATCCACATACCTATGGACACTTGATTTTTTTATAAAGAAGCCAAAATTATACAATGGAGAAAATAAAACATCTTCAATAAATGGAACCTGCCTCACAGGGAGGGCATAGGGCTAGGTTGAGTCCCTGGTTCCTGTCTGTCACATGCATCATGCACCCTAGCTGTATTTGTGTGTGTGTGTGTGTGTGTGTGTGTGTGTGTGTGTGTGTGTGTGTGCGTGTGTGTGGGGGGGGTTGGGGTGATGATCACTAAAAATTCCTAATCCAGATGTTGTATTTTTACCACAGAAACTTTAATACAGATATTACAAAAATGTTCTAGGAAATAATATCTTTGTTAAGTCCACACAGAACAGCACATTCCTCATAAATATATTCCTTACATTAGATTTAAATATTCTGAGAGCCACTGAAATGAGTGAAGGTGTTTTCTGCTGCTGCTTAGGACACATGCTGCACACTTAGTGGCTTAAAACAGATCAACTTTATCAAACGGAGGGCAGAGTCTAACATGGTTTTCCCCGGACTAAAATCAAATGTTAGCTGTGTTCCTGCTAAAGATGCCAGGTGAGAGTCCTTCTGTATGTCTCGTCTTTGTCCCTTTCTTTCCCAGGCAGAGTGTACTTCAAAGCCCTTTTGCTTCCATGTTCCTCTTGTGGCTCTCTGACTGTGTGTCCTCTCCCCATTCTTATAGGGACCTTGGTGGCTATGCTGGGTCTAGTCATATTACCCAAGGAGATCTCTCTCTATCAAGTTCTTTACTCACATATGCAAATATCTTCTTGCCACATAAGCCTAACCTCAGGATCTGAAGATTGAGGAGGTGGTGCAATATCCCTTACTGTTTTTACATACTCTATATTGCTTATTTTTCTTGCTACTCTGACAAAATAGGTGGAAAACATAGCTTAAGGTAGGAAAGGCTTATTGGGGCTCACGGTTTGAGGAAACAGTTCAACATGGCAGGAAAGGCACGGTGGCAGGAGCAGGGGGCAGCTGCTCATACTATGTCTGCAGTCAGGAAACAGAGAAATAAATAGCAGGGTTTCACTGCATTTCTTCTTTTTATTCAATCAGGATTCCCAGTACAATGGTACCATCCACATTCAAGGTGAATTTTCCTTCTTCAGTTAAATCTTCCTGGAAACTCCCATATATGCACGTGTTTCCAAAGTGATCCTATCTACAATTACCTTGACAATGAAGGTTAACCGTCACATGGGTCTTACTTAGCTCAGGCTTCAATGCAAGAAAGAACCCAGCCCAGATCAGCAGGACCACCTGGCTGACAACAGTCAGAACAGCTACCCCAAGCCTGCTAAACTCCAGTGCTGCACCTAGGGAATGAATTCTGACTCTTCTAGGAGAAGGAGCTAGACTTCCTGTCTGTGTGTATTTGGTGGGGCTCAGCTGATAAGGTATATGTTTGACTTCAAAGCTCTGGTACATTTGTTCCAAGATTAGTATAAATACATATGAGGAAATTGAGGTAACCAAATCTGTTCTTGTATACTACTGACAGTATACTATAACCAGGAGTTATAAACATACCTATAAACAGAGTAATGCTTGAACAGAGGTGTTGTACACACAAGATTATCCTCCCAGCAGAACTGCCACTATCTTCATTAGATCAGCTATGTCACCTTAGAAAAAATAATCACATATTTGTGGACTATTGCCCTTCTCTCTTAGAAGGAGGAGAGAAGAGGGCTGTGGGACATAGCCAAGCTGGCCTCGAACTCACAGAGAGCAATCTGCTATGCCTCCAGAGTGCTTGAGTTAAAATGTGTACCACCATGCCCTAGTATGGCTGCTGCCTTTCTTGCTTGCAGAGAACTTACGAACATGCCAGGTTTGAAGGCTGTGTGAGAAATTTTAGACACCGACTGATTGGACCCCTGTACATCCATCTACCTGAAGCAACAGTAGGTAGCCAGCAGATCAACCCCAAGGTTGTAGCTTCACACATTAGGCAAGTCCCTGTAACCCTGAAAAATATTCTACTGAATGTAATAACAGTCTTTGTCACTTATGAAAACAGGTATCAAGCTGGGTGCCAGAGATGCACTCAAGCTTTTCATAGTAGGCGGGGAAGCCACCTACACTGCTTGCTGATGTCTAGAAAGTTAAATGGTCAGAGAACAGGTGAACACTGAAATGAAATGGTCTCTGGCTCCTTCCTTCCATCCAAGGAAACTTCTTGGATGGTCAGACATCCAATAATGGGCTAGATCGAAGTCATCCTAGAGTATGAGAGACATCAAAAGGGGTCTATAAATCCCAGTCCAAAAAAAATCAGAAGAGTTTCAGAATGAAAGAGTCAGCCCAAGCAGCAGAAGAGACAAAGCCTCTGCTGCTGTGACAGAGCAATGTCCTGACCCAAGAACTTCCTGAGATTTCAAAGTCTCAGTGAGTTTCTCCCATTAAGAAGAGGATGCTCCAATTCAGAGAAAATAGTTACACAGTGGTCAATAGCAATATGTACTTAGGGTAGGAATGGGAGTGCATGTGTCTGTATGTAGATGCATGTATCAGTGTGAATTTATACTTAGAGCAGAAGTGTGATTACATATGTTTGCATGTATATGCATGTCAGTGTGAGTGCAGGTATATGCACTCACACGTCTGCCTTAGGAGATTTCACTACCTGTCTTGCTATTATAATCTTCTGAACAATATCCTACAGCAGTGGTTCTCAACCTTCCTAATGTTGCAACCTTTTAATATATTTCCTTATGTTGTAGGGACTCCCAACCATAAAATTATTTTTGTTTCTGCTTTATAACTGTAATTTTGCTACTGTTATGAACAGCAATGTAAGCATTTTTGGAGACAGGTTTGCCAAGGGGATCATGACCCACAGGTTGAGAACCACTGTCCTTCAGGCTTACTCCAAACATCTTGTGAGCTGGCATCACACAAATGGCTGCATCCTGCGAGCCTCCATGCCTTTGATCTTGCCTTTTGATACCAAACTGAAGGTCCTGTAGAGTCTTATCTTACTGAAATCCTACTTGTCAGGCAGGAATCTGTTGGCATCTCCTCCTTCAACTTCCTACCTACCTCTAAAACATGGAGTCAACCACACTCAAGTGTCACCTGCTTTCCAAAGTGAGGCTATCCAGGTCATGACTTCTCTCTTTCCTCCTTGTACCCTACTCTTTTGGCATATTTCCTGGAACCAATGTCCAAAAACTAGGTCAGGCAGAGGACTTCTCAAATCCCAGCTCCTTTCACACGAGCTTCTCCTTCCCATCATCCTGCTGGTTATGTTATACTTCCTGAGAGCCAATACCCCATGTCTCCTCCATTTCCTATCCCTGAAGTGTTCTGTGGCCCCTCATGGTATAAACTCAGTGGAAAGAGCCTCTGGCTTGGCTTCCACTGAGGGAGTAGCAGGCCACAGAATTGTGTGTTGCTGAAGGAGAGAGAGACACACGAACGATACGAAAAGAATGAGAGTAGGAGTGAGCTTACCAGTCATTGCAAAGTGTCCCTGGAGTAGGACGATGGGAGGAGAAAGATAGGAGCGCTGTGGGTGTCACTGCATGCTTCCCTTAAGTCTGACTCAGGACAGCCGTGCTAAATATGACCCAACAGACGAAGGGGGAGGCTCTTCCCAGTCTTCTCCAGTTGAAGGATGATGCTCAGACCTTGGAAGGCATCACAACTCCTGTTCGCCATTTTGGTGGCCCTGGTGGCCTTCAGCTACCAACAAAAGAAGAAGACATTTATAATTGTCCGTGAAGTAAATGTACTGGAGCCTTCTGTGCCGGGCACATTGGAGTATGTCACAAATGCATACAACAAAGAAAGTGAAGACGTGTACAACTTCAGGATCCTTCGCATCCTGAAGATTGAGAAGCAGGTGAGTTTGTGGCTCCCCTGTCTCTCCTCCACAGAGGGACCCAGTGCGCTGGTAAAATCCTAGGGGTTTGTTTTGATAGGATCTCACTGTACAGACTATGTTAGCCTCAACCTTGCAGCCTTCCTGACTCAGTCTCCCCAGGACAGGTATATGCTATCATTCCCAACTGAAAGTGGGTGTTTTAAGAGAAATGTGCATTCGCTAGTGGATGAATCTGTCCTTTCATTTGATAACCAACAAATTACATACCCAGGCCCAACTGTCCAAGCAGTGCTATTGGAGCCATCTGTGCTGTGTATGTCTGGGACTGCCATGCTGCCTTGGTCAGTCTGAAAAATTGCAACATAGGACACATGGCCTACTGAGATTAACCTGTTTACTATTTAGCCATTTACAAAACACTTGTACACAGTCCTGCCTGGATAACCTTTTCAATGTTGTCCAAGGGATGGCTGAACTCATAGAGTAAAATAGCTTTTCTGGTAGTCTTGGTGACATATCAATGTCTTCTGATAGTCTTGGTAATTTATCAATGAGTGACTAAGAGATGCCTGGAATCAGGAAGGAAGAATGAGAGGGAGGGAGAGAGTGAGGGAAGGAGGGAGGGAGGGAGGGAGGGAAGGAGGGGGGAGGGAGGGAGAGAGCCAGAGAGGGAAGGACCCAGGGAGGGAGGAAGGGAAAAAGGGATGAAGGAAGGAGAACAAGGATCCCACAACTGTGCAAAGCTGGGCACTTGCCATTGAGCATGGTGTATTGAGCATGAATATGAGCTGTCCCCTCATACAGAAGGCACAATGGGGAGAAGAGGTCTCTCTCCGTTTCCCTTCCTCTCACTCCACACAGTTGACAGACCACTTGGAGTTTCACATCAGAGTGGAAATGCGGAGGACCACCTGCTTCAAGACAGAGAAGAGCACCTGTGATGTCCAGAAAGGAGCACTTTACAAGGTACTAGGCAAGCTCATTCATACAAAGCCATTTTCCTGGGGGTTTTCTGTGGTTTAACCATAAGGGAAGGCAGACTTATTTGGGATCTGTTCAAATTTGCTTGAAAAAAATCTCATGGATGTTATCTCCTCTTTCAAAGAGGAAAATAGAGATGCAAAAAGCTAAGCTATCGTTTGTTGGTAATGGAAGAATCACAAGAAGGAAGAAAGGGTCCAAAGGGAGCAGTTAAGCTGTTGAACTTCAGAAGGATACCCCAGGCCAAGAGAAGCAGTTAATGATTAACCATATTTCAGCAGGAAATTTGAAAATAATTTGACTGGTGTACAGGTGGACTAAGGAAAACAAATCTGTGTGGGTGGCCTGCTGAGGGACTTGCTGAGTGGTCTTCAACCCCAAAGGCATATCAGTCCCATGCAGACATCATTCTGATCCAGCAGAAGGCTGGCCAGATGCTGCAAAACGTAATCGCCACTTATGTGTGTACAGACACCTAAAGATGTCCAGCACAGACCTTTAGACTATGAGTACTAACAGCACTTTAACCATTTCTTAAATTTCTCCCCAATGAATTTGATCAAGGATGGCTGTATGCCCTTCCTGTCTGGCTTCATCCTGCTTGATGTCTACATGTTTAATGTGATTGGTAATAACCTCACCTTTTTCTTATAGCATGTTCTTTTCCAGTTCATAAACTATATGGTAAACCTAGTAATAATGACTTGAAAGTTCTCAACACACAAATGTACCCTTTCCAGAGCTCCCTCTTCATATTAGGACATAAAATTTAATGGTTTGAATGAATGAAAGAAAAGATAGATAGAAGGCAGGAATGGGGGGGACAGAAGGATAAATGGGTGCATGAATGGAATTAGAAGGGTAGGTTGTGAGTGGGTGGATAGATAGATAAGTAGACAAAAGGGAAGGAGAGAGGGGAGAGAATCATGAAGGAGAAGGGGGGAAGGGAGAGAAGAAGGAACATGTAGGTCCAATAGAAGCCCACTGAGAGAAGATATGGTAAATACCACATAAGCGAAAATGACAAGAAAATAGAACCAGTCCTTCTATTGCTACTCCAAATCTGACCACAAACAGGACATTGTTCAGAATAATCAGAATGCTTTTGTCACATGAGGGAAATCACAATACCGTCAGGATGGAGGTAAGCAATGAGGCAGTGCCAATCCCCAGTCTCGGGTTTGATAGTCTCCTCCTTCTCACCTTGCATTTTAGCCCTATTGCCTTGTGTTTTATAGAGTCTGACTATTCGCCCCACTTGAACTCATCCCACCGCAGATTCCCAATTGCTGCTGTTGCAGAGTACTGCCACGCCCAGCTCTTGTTCATCTTTTAAAGTATGTGTTTTGGTCTTTTGTTTTAGCAAGTCCAGTGCTACTTCTCAGTGTATGTCATACCCTGGGCTGAAAGATACAAAATTCTCAAAAAAACCTGTACCGATAGCTGAGTATCTTGGAGCGCATGCTGTGTCCACCAAGCTTCAGGTCACCCTGCAGTCAACAGCAATCCTCAATTAGAACAATAAAGATGTTAGCCTGTTCTCTTCATGGTCTTCCTGCTGTGATTCCAGACTTTCCCCAGAAGTTCTTCAGCTATAAAAAAAAAAAAAAAAAACGTGGAGGTCCACTAAGGGTTCCAGTGGGGGACGTAGATAATTTCTGAACCCATTGTTTATACTTGCCTGATAGCAGAACTTCTCCCCTAGCTTCATAGCAAGTAGGGGACCTTAGGACTTTTTTTTGTCTGTTTTGTTTTGTTTTTGAGAGCAGGTATCAGGTAACCTCAGGTTGATCTGGAACTCACTATGTAGCCGAGGATGACTTTGAACTTATGGTCTTCCTTCCTCTACCTCCCAAGTGCTAGGAAAATAGGAATGTACCACCACACCCAGCTTTATAAAGTGCTGGGGTGGGGTCAAGCACAGGACTTCCTGCAGTTTAAACAAACATTCTACAGAGCAACATCCCCAGGTCAAATACTCTAGGTCTTAAGATTAGATGGAAAAGATAGAGAGAAGAACAATAAGGAGATGGGGAGATGTTTACAGTGGATGAGTGAACAGCAGAGATGCTAACAGGTGACTCCCACAATGGAATCCCTCAGAAGCCTGACAAAGAGCCTCCTTCTAAAGTATGAAACATGAAGGAAAAACAAAGAGCTAAGAAAGACAAGGACCTTACTCCTGGTCCAGAATTGAGAGATGCTCTTCATTTCTGTAAAAAAACACTAAACTCAGATCTAGACTCCCAGCACATTATCTCAGCAACCAGGACCAGAACAGAATGCATCTTGGATTCTGGAGGTTTTATCTATGAGACAAAGGAAAATATAGGCCCTATGGGAAAGAGGACATAGTCCCCCATATCAATCAATGGGATTAAATCCACTAGAAGAGAAGGGAGTGCAGTCAGGGTATAGACAGAAACACCATGTCACAGGAGCTGCACTTCCGGTCTTGGTCTATCTCCTATTGATAGTAACACAGTACTACAAATGAGGTAAATTATTTTTCACAATAGTCTAACCGTACATTAAGAAATTTAGCTCAAAAGGAAAACACACAAACGAAACATGAAATGTCTTTAATTCGTAATCAGACATGTTTAAAAGTAAAACATACTGATGTCTTCAACTAAATTTGAAGTACATATGAAAAGGGAGGTTGTTGGGTAAATATAAGAATGAGGAGAGAGATGTATAATACCAATGCAAAACATAAGTTGCCGAGTGGAGGTGATGGGTATGTAATTGTTCTTTGCAAAATTCATTCAACTTTAGATCAAGTTGGAAGATGTTCACCAGTATTCTGGAAAAGAAAGCATGAATGCATGCATTAAATCACTCAGAGTCAGACTTTAAATACCTTGCCAGAATGTGTTGTGTCTCACGGTGGAGCTGGAGAAATGGCTTGAGGTTAAAAGCATATTCTCTCTTGTGGAGGACCTGAATTCAGTTCCCAGGACTCATGTCAGACAGCTCACAAACACCAGTAATTCCAGCTCCTGAGATACCCAAGGCCTCTGACCTCAACGTGTAGACACACACACACACACACACACACAAGACCTGGGCCTGGCACCTCTCTTCTTCTAGAGTCTGGAATTTGGCACATGCCAGGCAGAGATGCTGTGGAAACAATCCCAAACAACACCTGCTCACTGAGTCTCCAACTCTGGCCCCCAGAAAACGGTGTGTTACAGATGCCCTCATAGCTTGTGGCTGGGAACTAAGTGAACCATGTGAGTGTAATGGGCAAGGACCCTGGGAGTTTCTGTCTTTCCACTGGATACTGTCTTTTACCTTTTTGTGGTGTTTTGAATGAAAACGAACCTCATAGGCTCATAGGGATTTGGCACTATTAGGTGTGGTCCTGATGGAGGAAAAGAGTCACTGGGGGTAGGTTTCGAGTTTTCAAATGCTCAGTCCAGGCCCAGTGTCACTCTCTCTTCCTGCTGCCTAAGTATCCAGATGTAGACTCTAAACTACTTCTCCAGCACCATGTCAGTCTTCGTACCACCATGCTTCTCTCCATGACAATCATGGACTAAACCTCTGAACTATAAGCCAGTCTCTTCATAGCAACAAAAACCCGAGCTAAGACATTCCTGCTACTGCTGATGCCTGTTGTCCTTTAGCCGTTGTAAGTCACAGCCTTGGTACAAATGTACTGAATCTACACTGGTTACTCAGCCTTGTTTGGTGATGGGACTTCAGACATGCTCACTGTGACGTGTATGAGTCACAGTGTTGTGCGTACTGGTAGGACACAGAACTTCCCATTCCCAGGCCAGAGTTGATGGCCATGCTTGGACCCAGAGATAGCAGAAGCATGGACTTGATGTAGAAAGAACAGTAAGCCCCCCCACACACAAAGGGATAGCAGCATCCTGTTCAAAGCATAGCAGTCCCAGGTACCACTGCATATCTGTGAAGTGTATGTGAGCTGTAAGTGTGGCAAAGCACAGAGGTTCATGTGTGGAAGTGTTTGCACTGTGTTTTCATGATGAATGTAAGCATATGAGACCAGGGGTGTGTGTGCCTGTGTGTGTGAGCAGGAGGCACACGTGTCAATGAAGCTGCTGTTACTATGCATGTTTTATAGGTCAGTGCTGTGAAGATGAGTGAGCATCTGTGTACTTGTATGAGTGTGTGTAGATACACCCCAGAGAGGGGAACGAGTCCTCTTAGAGCTATATAAAAACCAGTACACAACACGGGCATCTGTGTGTCAGTAGAGATCTTTATATGGGTACTTTGCTATCCTGGCAGGAATTGTTCCAGATCTGGTAGTAGTTCGCCCAGGGCACAGTATATATCAGTGAAGTGCAAATCAGGCTCTGTGGAAGAAGAAAGAAGATATAAACATCTTTGGGGGAAATAGTTTTCAACAGTAGAAGAAAAGGCCCCATCTCCTGAGGCCCTGGGGAGCCCAGAGAGGAACTGCTCCTCTGAGACCCGTGGCAGGTACCTCTGGAGCCCTCAGTCTAAACAGGATATACGATTCCAGGAAGGGGTACTGAACCTCCCTCTTCTCCCATCCCTGCACCTACACCCTGGGCCAGAAAGAGGCCCTCATATCTACCGTCTGGCCAATGAGACCAGGAAACATAGGCAGGGACAACAGAACTGGAAAGACATAGAAGAGATGGGGACAGTCTTCAGTGACCCAAAGAATGGGAGCAAGATAATAACAAATGCCCTGAGGAGGAGCAAACAGCACTTGCACCCTGGAGTTCTGTGAGGAGAAACAGACGCCTAGGTCCAGGATTGTGTCTGTTTGGGTGGCCAGACTGCCCATGCCAACAGCCTTCCTCCTTCTTGGATGCACGAGGGAGTGTCAGGTAGCCTTAAAGCTGGGCATTTGCTGGCCCTGACTCCCACTTTGAGGATGCTCATTCCCCATCCTTGGCCTTGAGGCTTTCTCAACAACAAACCTTCTTCATCTTGCTGCTTTGCAGAGGACAGGATGCTTTCTTTGTCTCGTTTTTCTTGCATTTGGTCCTGCCGATCTTCACAGTGACTAAATACTCCACCCCTGTGGTCAGCTGTGGAGAAGCAATTGCACTGCTGATTTCTGCCCTTGAGTGCCCAGTGTCTGGCCCTCTCCCTGACCCCTGTTCCCAGAACTCATCCATCAAAACTCGGCTCCTTCCTCCCCACCCATTGAGTGAGTCTCAATGGCAACTAAGATTCCCGAGTCAGCCACAGCCTCGCACTGTGGACTTCGGTGTGGGAGCCACATGGTCCTTACTTGTCTCCTAGCTGTCACTGTGACCTACCTGGCCCTGTTCCTTCCCAGTCTGCAGCCATCTTCTCCCGCCTTACTCTCCATCCCAGACAATTAGAAAGTAGACAATTCAGCAACACATCTAAATGTTCATTAGAGAGATAGCTTAAAAGCACTTGTTGCTCTTGCAGAGATCCTAGGTTTGGTTCCCAGAACCCACAAGGCAGTTCACAACCACCTGTAACTCCAATTTCTGGGAATCCAATGCCCTCTTCTGGTCTCTGCAATCATTGGACATATGTGGTGCTCTTATATACATGTACTTGAAGGCAGAACACTCATACACATAAAAATATAAATCTTTAAAAATAAGTTCGAGAGTCAAATTCATTTCAGACATTCACCCCCCGCATATTCGCTCTGAAACCTTCAGAAAGTAATGTAGCAGCCTCCATTTCTTCATTTGCGAGGCCCACATAAGCATTCAGTCTATTGAGGAATCTGTGGGCAAAATAGGAGCACTTCCACTAATGCATCCAAGCCAACCTATTGTGTAGCTATTTCCTCCCAATTGAAACATTCCCCCTGGGGAGTGGAGGCTCAGTCATAAGATTCAGGAATGAAATGAAATAAGGTTGTAAGGCCTCCTCCCCAAGGTCACTGCAAAGACTTAGGCTTGCTGAGCCACCTGCAGGGACTTCTAAGTTTCCATCATCATCCTGAGCTATCACCTTTGCTCGGATGATCTTTTTGGTGATACAGCTGCTTTTGAGTCATCCATGTGTTTTTAATTATCTCGCATAGACCCACTGGTAAACTAAAATAGACTTGGGTGGAACCATTTCTTTGTTCTGTTGGTGGTGCCCTATCTGTAGCAAGTAGATGCTTGTTCAGGTTTCCCAGGAAACGCCACACAAAGGTATCTTAAGAGAATTCAAATATCTAAGTTACTGAATATCTGTCAATTCCATGGACCATTGGGAGAGCCAAGGACAGAAGGATGGCATGTGCCGAAGACCTGGCTTTATCTCCCAGGAGCTTTCCACTTGAAATGATACCTGCTGCGCCCTGAACCTTTCTTCCTGGGGCAATGGACAGTGCAAGACAATGACGTGCTAGCCAGGTAAGCCACAGAGACACAAGCCAGGGCCAGCTCCCCTGGATGGCTTTGCCTTCTCTTTCTCATGATCAAACCAAAGGCTGCAAAGACCGAGGAGGAGGTCGGGAAGGCTTTTGGGGAAGAGAAGCCCCACACTGAAGTGAAACGCTAAGGAAATTTGGGATCATTGTCCTAGGTCTGACCCCCAGGTGAATGTGTAGGTTAGACAGCTGTGTGTGTAGTGGGGAGAAGTTCTTGGGAGTCCCCTACTTCTTGCTCAAATGCCAGTGGTCCAACCTAATGAGATGGTGTGAGCCTCTCTTGGGGAGATGCAGGCAGAAAATTCACCTTGATCCTGGTTGAAATGCTCCCATAAAAATAAATCTAAGGCCAGGTCCCAGGAGGCAATCGCCCATGGCAACACTGAGAATACAATCTCAGTAGCAGCCTGGAATTCCCTAGAGTACAGGTGCTCCTCACCTGTCATTAAGGGGGCATTCTACTTATGCAGGGAGTGTAGTAAATCGAGCTAGCCACTGTCACACTGGCTATCAGCAAGTTGTGTAGGAAAAAACTAAAACATGCATGCACGTTAAACATCTTACTAGTAGTCTGGATTGTTCACTTAGAATATGAAGTTATAAAACAGCAGATATTTAGACAAGTGCCACTAGGTGGCAGCATTGTGCTAAATTGTTTCTTGTTCTGACCCAGTTTGCAGGTGAAAAATCAGTCCTGAAGGAGTCTAGATGACACCTAACTAAGTCGAAAGCAGGCCCACCACTCCACCGTACCTGTCTAATACCCACACTTTGCAGTACTGAGACTTTCAAAGTCACATCTGGATATTGAGATGCCCAGAAACCTGTGTCCATGACCCTCCCCTTCCAATCGCCAAGCCCACACTGTCCGCTTATCACTTTAAGTAACATCAAGTTTGCTCATAACATTTTTAAAAATTATTCTTGACCAGTTAACTGTTAATGGCAAAAGATTGGTTTCACACATTAAATCTTAAGTGTTTCAGCTATGTATACCTAAAGGAAAATGATTCCAGTAAAAAAGACAAATGAGAACAGCGCCACCATGTGGTCATAGTTCATAATAGCCAGGAATCCCCTGGAATGTGCCAGGATTTAGGAACTCACTTGCCTGCCTGTAACACTAATATTGCCCACCCCACTCCCATGCCTTCCTCTCTTTCTATTAATTCCTGTTCCGTCTGCCTCCCATTCTCTCAGACTATTAGTCTTTCCTTCTAGTGGATTATTTCACCCCAAATCTGTCTAACTAGGATGCAGTATTGTTTCTGACGATTTAGATATTTCCCTATCTGACCTAGAGGGAACAGCGGATCAGTAGTTTTCAGACAAAGTCTTTCCTCTACCACCTTCCAGGTGGTACAATTCACAATACCTGCATGTGTAAAACAAAAGGCATGATGACAGGTATGATCCTAGCACTCACATTCAGGAGGCTGAGGCAGGAGGCTGAGGGTAGAGCAGCACAGGCCAGCCAGGGCGAAAACCAGAGACCCTGCCTCAAGTGGTGGAGCTATCTGACTGAAGCTGCTTGCTCACTCCCTGCTACCTCCCCACTGCTATCCCCAAAGACATGTGATTCCAAATGTCTCAAACAGAAAGTTCAGTCCTGTTTTACAGTCCTAGACGCTGAAAACAAATGCTGTGGGACATAAGGAACCCACAGAGAGTGTTTAGGTTTTATTCAGATAAAACTATTAAAGAAAGCAAAACCAGCCCCATTCCTGCGGTCTAGTAGGCAAAATGAAATGCAATTCCCTCCATAGAACAATGGAGAAGAACCCCTACACATCAGTTTTTGGCCAAGAAGAAGTGAGGTACGTTGGCTCCAGACCTTAGACCCAGCTTAGGTCATGTGGCTATGGTGACTGAAGGAGCTGCTTAGCCCAGAAGCACCAGGTGCACCCGTCACATAGGACACTCCCCAGAGAGTTATCAGTACTCTATCCCAGGAACCCAGGCAGAATCCCCGTATGTCTGAAAAAGCAATATGGGAGTTGTGTTGGTGTCGGGGAAACCAAGACACAAACCTGCATCTGACTTTGAATTAGCTTCTGAACCTGAAACAAGTAGGTGTCATTGCTTGCATTGTTGTAGGATTGGATGAAGAAGTGGACTGTAGAGTTCATGTTTTTCTCGCTGGTGGCCTGCTCCTTGAAGCCTCCCCACCTTTGGATGTAATTCAGCTTGGCCATTACAACTACAGTCACCAGCAAGAGCAGCAAGGGGGTCCTCAAGCCTCTGGCTTTCATCTCCACAGCGTCGGCAGGCCCTTGTCCCTGCTGTTGCCAGGGTAGGAATGGTGACTGTTCCCTTGCTCTTCCACAGCGGTCTTATGAGCACCGGCTTTCCTGGGAGACAGCTTCACCTGCACTTAAGCAAAGATTAAGAGCCCAAGTACGTTCTTCCACTGTGCTAAGAACACTATCCATGGGAAGCTTCCCAAGGGGCCATACACCCTGCTCCCCAGCGGAGTTCCTCCGGCTTGCAACGGCCATTCTGTTCTCTAGCAATCCAAATATGGGGTTGTCTCTGCATGCTGCCGAGCCAGGAGAATCCTTATCCTTGCCTGCGCATACCTGTTCAGAGCTCTGCAATAAAAGCTGCTGTAGTGGGCAGAGAGCTCCATGTGTGGGAGTGAGTGAACATGTATGGAGAAAGTCATATTTGAACTGAGACATAGGGCTCAGCCGCATGCAACCTGGAGCAGTACATCCCAACCATCTTACCAAGCCACCATCATCCCTGAGCCTCCTCAGTCAGGGTCCTCTTACTCTTGCCTCCCACCTGCCACAGATATCTCCCTGCTGTTTCTTAGTGTGTGGCAGATTCCCACTTGTAAACCTGTTGTGACCCAGCAGAGCTTTGTGAGGTAATCCCAAGCTCCCCATGTGAAATGAGCCAGGAGCCTTACTCAGAAATTAGCCCTGCACAGGGCCACCTGTATACAGGCTCAGTGGCAGCATGAGGACATGAGTTCATATCTTCAGTGCCCACATAAAAGCCAGATTTGACAGTGAGCATCTGTAACCCTAGTGCTGGGAAGCAAAGATGGGTGGGTCCCAAGGCCTCACCCATCAATCCGTGTGGCCAGGCTGCTAAGTTCCAGGTTCATTGAGACACCCTGTCTCAAAAACAAGGTGGAGAGTAATGCAGTAAGATATAACAGCAACCTCGGGCCTTTATATACGCCTTGTTTCCCCACCCCACAGCCTGAATGTAGTGCAGGGCTTGTATTATAAAGTGTTAACTTCTTAGTTTTACAGTTGTACTGGGATTTTGCCACTGTCTGGGGAGGTTAAAGACCTAGGAGAGATTTTGCATTTTTTCAGTCATTTTGTCTTACATTATTCAAATTAAAAGTTAAAATATTCAAAGTTAAATACTAGTCAGTGAGAAGCAGTGATACGGCAGACAGCGCGCACACACACACACACACACACACACACACACACACACACACACACTATCCAGATATTTTCTGGGGATCTTGGGCTAGTTAATCTCCCTCATTTTTCATCTCCCTGTAATACAAATTATTGTTTTTAATAAAGGTCTCATTGTTTAGTCCTGGATGGCCTGGAGCTCACTGCATAGACAATGCTGACCTGGCATTCACACCAATCCAGTTGATTATACCCCATACTGCGGTTAAGGGCATGTGCCACCACACCTGAGATCCCTATAGTATGAAAATGGATGGAGGTAAAGAACTTGCTCCTGTATCTGGCACTGGTGAATTCTCAAAACCATCTGTGTGATTCTTCCCTGACTCTGATTCTTATGCTGGAACCATTAACTACTGAGCTTCTAGCCCTACTCCAAGCTACTGTCCATGGTGACAGTATACAATCCTGGTAGGATACATCACGGCATCCATACTGTGCTCCATAGAGCACTAGAGGTTGTCCAGCTCTAGACACAGCAGCTTTAGAACATTCCAAGTTGGATAAGCCAAGGTCATTATGGAGTAAATGTCTCAACTGTAGCCTAGTTCCTACACTTTTCTCTCTGCATTATGAATGACTTGTAGTAAACTCTGTTGCTTGTGGGGCAGTTCAAAAAACTCTTTTATTTAAGCTAAATATAGCCAATCAAAATATATGTCACTCTGGATTGCTATGTGGTAAGGCAGCAAGGGGACAGATAGGGAATAAAACAATCTGTTTAGCTGAACTTGGGGGGCTCATCTTTTTTTCTTTTTTCTTTCTTTTTTAAATTTTATGTATAGCAGTATTTTGCCTAAGTGTATGTATGTGTGCCATTTGTATACTTGGTGCCTGAGCAAGTCAAAAGAGGGTTTCAGATTCCCAAGAACTGGAGTTACACATAGTTGTGAACCACATATGTGGGTGCTGGGAATCAAATCCAGGTATGGCAGAAGTCATGCTGTCACCCTTGGGAACAACACTTAGATGTGTTTCAAATGGAGCTCATTAGATGGCAAGGCCCTTAGGAGAATCCCACCCATTTGGCAAGGACCTATGGATACAATACTGCAAACTCCTGCGCTGACCTTGGGTTTCAGGCTTCTCTAGCTTTCGCTATGCTTATTCTTATGGAAACTCTTAGTTCTGCTTGTTAGTCATGATTATGCCTGAGTTTACTGGGAACAAAAGCTTTTACAGGAAAACCAAATTTCTTTGATCTGTTACAGAAACCATTTTCTCCAGTTGTCCCTGGCTGCCTTTGCAGTCATCCTGAATAAGCAGGAGGAACTCACTAAGGTTAATGATTATCACTTATTCAATACCAAAAAGAGATAAATATATTCCAAAGAACTTAAGAACCAAGAAAACAGTTTCTTAAAACACGACATTAAAAATCTTATAGGATCACAGAAAGAAAAAGAGGACATGAAAGGTCAGACATTTCTCTGACACTCACATACTTTTCCAATACCAAACTATCAATAAAGAAATCTAAAACTCCTAGTTCCTCTTTAAAAAGTACATTTAGAAATTCCCAGGAAGAACAAAGAAACTTAGTATCGATAGTTAGAGTTAGGTGTTAATCATTACTATTTTGAGAACTTATAAACAATAGGATTATAACTGCAATCCACATAATAAAGGTGACATTCAGATTACTCAGAAATTGGTATACCCCTGAAAATGATACGGTAGGCATCGAAATATATTCAGCTGATCTCGTGAGGTTAAGAATTAATCACAGGGCTCAAATCTCTTACTTTGTAACAGCGTATTTGCTGCCAGCGAGGGCACAGTATGAATAAGATGTACCTAGCTAGATATAAATATTTGACTTGCTATATAATGGTATGGGGTAAAGGTCAATGATGTCAGGGGAGTGGAAAGAAGAGAAACTAAAATGCTAATGATTCTTGGAAAATGATGAAAGGGAAATGCTTTGAAAGTGCTTGAATTCATTAGAACTTGTATAAATGAAGACGGCCTGAGCTAGCTGGGGCCATCAGTTTGAAAGACAACTGATAGCATGGCCAGACTTCTCATTCTTCACCAACTTCACACATCCTTCCCGAGGCACAAGAGCCCCGCTGGAACTGGACTCCAGCACAGGTCCTCTGCAAGAGCAACAAGTACTCTTAACTGCTAAGCCATCTCTCTAGCTCCAGGGCACAGCTTTTTAAACAGTTCTCTGCTGATCCTATGTGTCAACACAGCAAATTAAACTGCTCTCTGGCCCCTCTAAGTTCAGGCAGGCATCTTGTTTCCTGATCCAGTTTTCCCTGAAAAGTACCAGAAAGATCCATGGTATGAGGGAGAAACAGGTATTTAGTTAAAAACCATGAAATAAAGGAGAAGTAACAGACCTAATTGTATCGATGGAATATGAAAATAAATGGGCAGTATTTTAATGCCCAATAACTAAGGGGATACAGAGTTCCAACATGTCCATGGATATGTGGAAAGTAGGAATCATGTTATATTTGTGGAATAGAAGTAAAATACAGACCCTAGTCACAATCATAAATATGAGAAATAAAGTGAGTATCTGGAACCTGCCCATGAATTCAGAGGAAAACAAGGAGCCAGGTGAAATACAATACAATGAAGAATGAGAACAGAAGGAGGAAGCAGGGGGCCTGCCTGGTCATGTTCTTGAAGGAAAGGCAAAGAAGGAACTTGTTTATCTTCCCCGCATTGGAAACTTGGATTCTTAATTAAAACTGTGCAATGAGAGGAGCAGGATGGCCTAGTTACATCCAGGAATGAAGAGAAACACACAGACAGGTTATGTCCACGCAGCTCTGCAGAATGTGTAAGCTTGGTCATATCAGAAGGAAGGGGGAAAATAAGGAAAGAGACCATTACAGGGACCTTGGTCTTGGCTGTTAGGACATGAGAAAAATCCATGGGATGGGCTGAGGCCTCACTGGGCAAATTCATGAATAGGAAACATTTAAGCCTTATATTTTTTACGAAACAGGGAGAACTGTGAGCTCTGACTGTTTGCATGGAAAATAGAAACTGTAGATGTCTGGGGAAAGGAAGGAAGCATGGGTACATATGTGGAATAAGAGGAAAAGAGTTTCGCTGAATGTAAATGGAGGATCACATGGAAAAGCAGAAAATGTGGGGTCTGCTTATAAATGGAGGAAGGAACAGCATAGGGAAAGAATGTCAAGGAGAAGAGAAACTTGAGCTAATAGACATGCTCACTGGGTAGATTTTAGTGAGTGATGATTCTGCAAGTGAACACAAGTATTGAAACTTCAAATTGTTCACTATACACATGCATGGTTATTTGTCAATTGCAACTCCTAGTGGGGTTAGGATGGATGGGTGGGGTGTGTGGGCTAAATGGAAGTATGATAGGTGAATTGGAAGATGGATGAATTGGGGGTGGATAAGCATGAGAATGGCTAGGTGGGTAGATAAAAGCCATGCGACACTACCCAGAGTACTTTCTGGGGAATCAGTCTGAAGACACTGCCTGCCACCACTATGCCCTTTTTCATGACCTGTACCTATGACAGTAAGGGGGAAAAGGGTTGCTTTTGGCCAAAGCCACCAGAAGAAGACTGAGACAATGAGCCCTGCACCAAAGCCGCTCCTGTCTGCCTGTACACGAGCCATCTTATCATTTGCCACACCACCTAAAGGAACACTGTTTCTATGGTAGCTATTTCGTTTTTTAAAAAGGAATCTTTCCCACATGCTCAGCAAATCTGGCCTCCTATCTGATGAACTAAATTTGGTAACCTGGGCCCTGGTGGATGCATAGTGCCTGGCAGGTAGGTGGGACTCATCTGAGATCTGGCCGCGCTTGAGTAATTGTTTAGGTCCCTGGAGGAACTTGCACGAGCAGCACTTCTTCCTCATTTGCATATTGCAAATTGAGATTTGTGTGGTAGAATGTAATTTTCAGGTGTGTGGCTTTTGTTTATGCTGCATTTGTTTAACTCTGTGAAGCTGTGATTCTTTGACTGTCTAAAACACCTGATGGTCCTAATAAAGAGATGAATGGCCAAGGCAGGAGCAAACATAGGCAGGGCTGGCAAGCAGAGAGGATAAACAGAAGGAGAAATGATGAACAAAGGGGGAGCAAAGGAACAAGGAGAGGAGGACTTCAGGGACCCATCACCCAGCCACCCAGCCACACAGCCACACAGTCAGACACTGAGTAAGAAGGAAAGAAAAGGGAAACAGAAGGAAGAAAGATATAAGTTCAGAAGGAAAAGGTAGATGGGTTAATTTAAGATAAGAAAAGCTGGCAAGGAACAAACCAAGCTAAGGCC